CAGTCTGGCCGCCCCGCCTCCAGCATGGCAGCCACCCCCTCCAGCAGCAGCAGCAGGCAGCTCTGCACCAGGAACAGCAGCAGCTCCCGGACACACTGGGCCAAGTGCAGCAGGGACTCGGGGAGCTTGGACTGGAGCTGCAGGAGCAGAGACAGATGACACCTCTTGGACACCATCCTCCCCCCACACCAAGCCCCAGGTCTGGGCATCCCCAGGAGCCCAGTGTCCCCGTTACCTGCCTCTGCCAAACCAGGCTGTCAGTCAACCACATCCCCTCCCCATGCTCCCCCCACACTCCTGTTCAATATGAGCCAGCATGTGCCCAGGTGGCCAAGAAGGCCACCAGCATCCTGGCTTGTATCAGCACTAGTGTGGCCAGCAGGACCAGGGCAGGGATCATACCCATGTGCTGGGCACTGGTGAGGCCACACTTCAAATCCTGGGGTCAGTTTTGGGTCCCTCATGACAAGAAGGACATTGAGGGGCTGGAGCGTGTCCAGAGAAGAGAAAGGCAGTGGAGCTGGGGAAGGAACTGGAGCACAAGTGGGATGAAGAGAGGCTGAGGGAACTGGGGGTGTTCAGCCTGGAGAAAAGGAGGCGGAGGGGAGACCTTCTCACTCTCTGCAGCTGCCTGAGAGGAGGTTGGAGCCTGGGGGATTGGTCTCTTCTCCAAAAAAAGTGGTAGGACAGGAGCAAACAGCCTCAAGTTGTGCCAAGGGAGGTTTAGATTGGATATTGGGAACAATTTCTTCATGGAAAGGGCTGTCAAACACCAGCCCAGGCTGCCTAGGGCAGTGGTGGAGTCCCCATCCCTGAAGGGCTTTCAAAGCCATGTAGCTGTGGTGTTGAGGGACATGGTTTAGTGGTGGCCTTGGCAGTACTGGGGTAATGGTTGGACCTGATGATCCTAAAGGGTCTTTTCCAACCAAAATCATTCCATGATTCTGCAGTTCTACCTCTGAGCCCTCCCCATATTCACTGCTTGGCTCATCCAGGGCACATCCCAGGTGAACAGCAGACCTGTGCTGCCCACTGTGGTAAAGTAACTCTCCCCCTCCACCAACTACCGATTTTCAGGAACCTGCTGAGTTACTGGTGAGCCCTTGCCCTCTCAGACCAACACTGCCATTGCCAACACCTGGGTGAGAGCAGCCACGGGGGGCAGACAACCAGTGGCAGTGTTCCCCCGCCCCCAGCACTGACAGTTCGCAGCTGACTCGGATGTCACCTTCCTCCTCCTGCCCTGTAAGCCCTGACATGCTGTGCCCACACCCCTCACCCCTCCCTGCAGCCGGGAGCCCCTCCTTACCCACTCAGCAAGCCAGGGCAGGCTGTGGTGGAGCCAGGAGACCAGAGAGGAGCAACACTCGGACATGTGCCGGGCCACCGCAGCACTCAGCACCCAGAGCTGCTCCAGCCATGGCTGCAGGACAGCAGCAGCCTGGGAGCCATAAACCGGGAGAGTCCGCGCCAGCCACCTGGGAGAGAGCCAGCACCAGCTGAGACAGTGCTGCACCGCCAGGACCTGGAGCTGCTGCCCCAGCACAGCCACACCAGGACATGGAGCCACTGCCACAGCCTCACCCCTCCCTGGCACTGACCTGTACCCTTCGAGGCAGCAGCTGGAGGCCCTCTGCCAGGCCTGCTGCCAGGCTGGCAGGATACCAGAAGAACGGAGCAGGCGAGCGGAGGAGGAGGCTGGAAGAGAGCAGAGCCATTCCCTGAGCTCCCCCTCGGTTAAGGCTGTGCCTTCCCTCTGCCCAGAGGCCTCCCCAGGGACACAGCCTGAGTTGCTCTGCAAAACAGCTCCGAAAATGACAAAAATTCCCAAGCAGAGGGAACGTGGACTGGGGCAGATACATGGGAATGTCCGCAAGAGGGGACAGGCAGGGGGTTTCTCTGCAGCCGGCTGAGAACATCCAGCTTAACACAGCCTAGCCTTAACACAGACGTCCAAGGACACCTCAAAGACAGAGCGGGGGGCCAGGCTGCCCCAGGGCACAGGCTGGGGGAAGGTGTGGGGGGGAGTTCACACAGGGCAAAGGTAACGTTATCATTCCCCAGGGACACTCCTGGGCATCGCTCGGAGCCAAGAGCAGAGACACGAGCAGAGCTGCCACCTTACCCTGGAAGGAGCCGTGTGTCCGCACGTCATGCAGGAGGAAACCAGCACCGAAGACCAGGAGGATGAGGAGCAGCCGTGACCAGGGGAAGCTCTGCCCCTTCATCCTGCGCAGCAGCTCCTGAGCAGGGGGAGGATGAGGCTCCATCAGCAGGGAGACTCCAATGTGGCCGCACTGCCCTCCAGCAGTGCAATGGTGACTGCTTGCACCACCCACCCCCGGATTCCCAGTGGGAACCAGTGTCATCTGCCGAGCAGCTGGGAAGATGGACAAAGGCCAGCAGCATCTGTCCCCACCATGTCCTACAGATGTGCTGCTGCAGGGCCCTGGCCTGGCGCGTGCCGGCGGATAGAGACCAGCCGCAACTCCGGCAGAGAGCCAAGATCCATGTCACCAGGCCTGTCCCCACCGAGGACTCACCTTGCAGGCAGCATCGCAGGCAGCCAGGTCCTGGTCACCACCAAGCCCCCGCGCCACCAGCTCCTCGTTTGTCACCTTGAATGAGCGAACCGTCTCCTGCAGAGCCTGGTGCACCTTGGGAAGGGCAGGAGCTGCGTCACTGCACCGGGCACCCCAAGCCAGCGGCACCACGCGCCCAGAGGAACTGGCACCACACACCCAGAGCACCTGGCGCTGGGTAACTGGAGCACCCGGCTCCGCAGGGGCCCAGGAGGGAGCAGAGGGAGAGGAGACAGGGTGGGCAGAAGCACCAAGGACCTAGGGGATGGCCCAGGCTGTGAGGACATTCCAAAGCTCCTGCACCAAGACACAGGTATGTCAATGGAGCCACCAGCATGCTGGAGTAGTGCCAGGCGGGCACAGACAGGTTCTTCAGGTACTGGGACCCCTCCCAGCAGCACAGGGGGGGGGTCTCCCTGCCCCACTGAACTCCTGCATTCCATGGCTCACTCCTACCTTCTTGCTGCTGCTGTCCCAGGACTCCAGCAGATGGTTCAGAAGCAAACTGTGGTGGGGAAGGAGAAAATTGGGCTGGGTTAGGAGCTCCTAGAAGCACTCCTTGGGGCCAGTGGGCTGGGCTGGCCCTGCCTGCAGCTGCAGACACCAACCTGGTCTGGGAGAGGTGCTTGGTGTAGAGTTGCCTCCAGACACTGAAGCTCAATGGATCCAGGCTCAGGCACTGGCTCATGGAGGTCAGGAGCTGGGAAGAGGAGAGCAGGGCATCACACCCATCCCTGTGTCGCTCCGGCTGGCACAGAGGACATGCCAAGCCCTGAGCTGCACACTGGGGCAGCTCTCCCCCCCCCAGCCTGCTGTCTCCCCAGGGCTCACCTCTTTCTTCATGCTGGGGGGGCAGCTCGGCGTGGCGCGGGAGAGGAAGGAAGGGAAGTAGGTGTGCAGAGAGGTCTCGGGCCTCGCACCGAACGCCAGCACCTTCAGGCGTGGGTAGAGCTGCCGCAGCTGCTCCTGCAGGCTGGGAGGGACGGCGGGGGCTGCTGAGAGCGGCCGGCCAGCCCCCCGGGCACTGCCCTGCAGCAGGGGGCACAGGGTGGGCATGGGGCAGGGGGGCAGCATACCTGGGGGGCAGTGAGTTGTTGGGCATGAAGGCGAAGTCCAGAAGGGGGAAGAAGTCCTTGGGTCCGATCATGCCGAAGCCTTTGGTCAGGTTGGGGTGCATCCTGCACAGCCAAAACAGGGCTGGTCACCGGGACAATGTCCCAGCAGCGGCACAGCCAGGAAGGAAGGGGCTGTGGGAGCCCCTCCAGCTTCCGGGCAGAGAGGCAATGTTGACACCTGCTTGCAGGGTCGGGCACAAGCGTCTTGTGCCCCGAGGGTCTGCAGACCATGATCTGGCAGGCCCGTGACTGCTGGTCAATGAAACACAGTCAGAGAGGAGAAACCAGATTGTAGAAAACTATTTGAAAGATGGGGAGGAACTGGGAAGTTTGGATCAATCCATCTCCATAAAACCCTCTGGCAAAACCAAACACAACATTCCTGTCACTGTGAAGTAGGGGAAAAAACTTAAATGAAACCTCTTAGGCCAGGGATGCCCCTCGGTGCCAGCCAAGAAACCATTCCTGACCTCCCCTCACAAGACCTTCACCAGAGCTGCTGTGGCAACGCCTGGCTCTGTTACACCACACCAAGGTGCACAGGTGAAGTGAAGCTGGCCAAATGCCACCATCCTCCTTCTGGTAGGGACAAACCCACCCGCCTGCCATGCTGGACGCTGCTGGCACCTGTTGCCACAGCCAGGAGCCACAAGGTCCCCGCGTGGCAGCAATTGGTGGCAACGGAGGGGGACTGGCACAGGGGCAGCGACACGGTGCAGACTTAACGAGGATGGTAATGAAGAAGATAACAAAGACAGTAACTCACATCAGCAGCCGGTCCAGGTAGGCCACGGCGTACGGGGAGAGAGCCTTGATGCCGAGCACTGGGAACATGACACCGAGCCACACTACAGGAGAGGAGGGGTCAGACTGGGGGGTCTGGCCATGTCCCTGCACACTGGTGAGACCCTTGGGCAGTGGCTGGCAGGCAGAGGCATGCTCCTGCACCCAGACCGCAGCTACACTCAGGACCAAACACTCCCTTCCCCACTCAGAATGCCTGGCAGATGGACAGATCTCTCAGGAAAGGCTGCAGGACTGGCAGGGAAGCAGCTTGTTCCTCCCAGGATCCAGCACTTCCCTACCCCAGCAGGGGACGGTACTCCTCAGAGATGCCCCAAGGGCAGTCTCTGAGATGCAAAGGGGCCACCAGGCTGGGCAGGAGCCCTGAGCATTGGAGGGGTCTGGCCTGCCCTCACCAGCAGATGCCACAGTGGCTGCAGCCACCCTGGTCCCCAGGGGAAGAGGGTCCCTGGGCAGAGACAGGTGCCCAGCCCACCACTGCTAGCTCTTACCTTTCAGGCCTTCATGGAGGTCAGCAAAGCCGGCCTGTCCCAGCGCCCACAGCACTGTCAGGCACTTGGCTGGCCTGTTCTGATGGGACCGCAGCACCTCCAGGTACTGGGGGGACAAGGACACGTTAATGGAAGACAGCCTCAGCCTGTCCCATCCCACCAGAAACAAGCTTGGGGCCAGGTCACCTCCTGGGGTCACCACTGCAGGACTGCAACAGCTGCACCAAGCCCTGAGCAGAGCCCCTACACCCCCTGAGGGACCCCCAGCACCCGGTGGGGCCAGGAGCTGTGCCAGCTGGGGACCCCTGAAGCCCAGCCCTGAGGACACAGAGCTCCAGCACCATGTGGTACCATTGGCTGCTTGCTCCAAGGGGTTGGGACCCCAGAAATGGCTGCTCAGGGCCTGACCACCCTGGGGGTCAGCAGGTGGGGGGAGGTCCCAGCTCACCTTGCCCAGGTTCATGGTGGCGATCCGTGGCCTGTCCAGCAGCAGCGCCTGGATGCAGATCCTGTACCCGTGCAAGGACTCCCCTAGAAGGGGGCACAGAGAGGCTCAGCCATGGGGCTTCCCATGCTCTCCTCCCCCTGACACATCCCCAGAAGGTGTAGGGGGGGGGGTGACGACCCCCTGTACACCCCTGCCTTGCTACTGGTCAATGAACCCCTGGAGTGAGCCCACCACAGCAACATGGGTCCTGCTCCCTCCCCGGTACTTCTCCCCACCCCCTCCCCAAGGTGCCCCACCACAGGAGCAGGACTGACCCCACAGACACCCACTAGCTGCTCCCCACAGCCCCTCCCGCCCAGCTCTGGCCCCCAGAGACACAGCAGGCAGGAATGGGAACCACCACACCAGCGTCTTGGTGCTGCCTGGGGCTCATTTTGCCTTGGAAACACAAAATCCTTTTGGTTGGAAAAGACCTTTAAGATCATTGAATCCAGCTGTCACCCAGCACTGCCAAGGCCACCACTAAACCATGTCCCTCAGCACCACATCTACACAGCTTTCAAAACCCTCCAGGGATGGGGACTCCACCACTGCCCTGGGCAGCCTAGGCTGGTGCTTGACAACCCTTTCCATGAAGAAATTGTTTCCAATATCCAATCTAAACCTCCCCTGGCACAACTTGAGGCTGTTTCGTCTTGTCCTGTTGCTTGTTCCTTGGGAGAAGAGACCAACTCCCCCAGCTGCAACCTCCTTTCAGGCAGCTGTAGCGAGTGAGGTCTCCCCTCAGTCTCCTTTTCTCCAGGCTGAACACCCCCAGTTCCCTCAGCTGCTCCTCATCAGATTTGTGCTCCAGACCCTTCTCCAGCTCCACTGCCCTTCTCTGGACATGCTCCAGCCCTTCAAAACTGACCCCAGGGTTTGAAGTATGGCTTCACCAGTGGGTGAAGGGGAATGATCCCTGCCCTGGTCATGCTGGCCACACTATTCCTTCAAATGAGGAAGGTGCAGGAACCCCCATTGTTCCCAGGTACCATCCAGCAACTCTCTCCAACTCTGCTGGCCCCAAGGGTGGGTGGCATGGCTGCAGCAGGGGCTGGTTGCCCCCCAGGCTGGTCCTGCTCTGTGGCTTTCACATTGGATGCACCAGGCACACCAGACCACAACAGTGGGGCCCATGCAAGGTCAAGGCCAACAGCAGTAACACACCCAAGGGTGAAAGCCCTGGGAAGGACATTTTCCACCCCAGATCCTCCAGTCTGCAATCCCCACCCTGCTACACCTGCTTCAGCTCCTCCAGCCCAAAACCTCCCAACCCCAGCAGCAGCATTTGGTATCCCAGTGAGAAGCTGCTAGGCAGGAATGGCCCCTCCCAGCGACAGGATGAGCAGGAGTTTCTCCTCTCACATGTCCCCCAGAGGAGCTCAGAGCAGCTCTCAGGGCAGGCCTGGAACAGCAGTGTCTCCATGCTCAGGAAGCCTCAGCCCCTCACACAGAGACAGAGCACTACAGGAGCACCCTGGGGATGGGTGCCTGGCGCTGTCCCCACCGTCCCTCACTTGGGGTCTTGTCCAGCTCCTGCAGCATGGTGTAGATACAGTGGTCAAAGAAGAGGTCCAGCACGCCGGCCGCCCTCCCCAGCAGGGATCGGATGATGTTCCGCAGGGGTTTGCTCACCAGGCAGTACGGGTAGTCTGGGGGAACACAGTGCGTGGGGGGTTCAGCCACCAACTGTTTGTCACAGCGTCACCTGCAGGAAGGGGCTGGGCTGGTGGCTGTGGGGGAGCTCCAGGGCCTGGGGCACCCCTCAACAAACAAATTCGTGCCATTATTCTACATTATAGAGGCACTGAATCCCAGGACCTGAAGGGGTTACAGGAAACCTGGGGTGGGACCTCTGACAGTGCTCCCTCCTGGGCATCACCCCATGCAGCTCCCCATACCCAGACACTCCATTATCCACTCTGGCTCCACAGGGGTTTAAGGGCTGTCTCAGGGCTCTGCCCACCTCTGTGGGTCACAAAGCCACTCCAGAACAGGGACCCCTGGGTGTGGGGCAGGGGGCACTGACCGTGGGGGTGCTGACTGAGCAGAGGGTCACTCTGGGGTGCCTGCAGCTTGCAGTTGAGGTACCCGGCCAGGTCCTTCACCCAGACAGAGGGGTTCTCAGGAAACACACTCTGGCTTTTATCCAGCTCCTTCTGCAAATCTGCCAGGTCGAGCTGGAAGTGACAAGACATGAGAAATTCAACCCAGGATGCGCAGAACTGGTCAAACAGCTTGGAAAGAAGAAAGTTCATCTCAGCTCCCAGGGGGCATTGGCACTGTTAGGCAGCTCTGCACCAGGGTCCTTGAAGAGAAAACAGCCCAGATCACGTAGACCCACCAAATTAACAACCCACCACCCACAAACCACAAGCAGGGACGGCAGTTCCCATCCCCTCACCTTCTTCTGTCATGACATGCTCTTATTGCCTACTTCTAAACTTAGGTTATCTGTGAGCTGGCACGAAGAGCCCCTGTCCTGCCTCTGGGGGCTTGAGGAGATGCAGCAAGACCCCAGGGGCTGCAGGATCTGCTGTTTCCCTACAATCCCTACATGGGAACATTTCAATCACGGCGCATCGTTAAACCTGAGCCAGGCACCTTTTGTGGCAAGTTTATCTCAGCAATCATTGTGAGAAGGGGAAGGAGAAAAAAACAAAAAGCTGCTGTTAAGTCAGAAAAAACCAACTATAGCGATGCTGTCAGCAAAGCTCAGGGGGAGCAGTGGCACAGCAGCGTTTGTCACTGCCCAACTGTGTGGGGCAGCTACGGGCAGCCCTCGAGGGAGATCTGCCCTGACATACACAGAAATAACATTCATTCTGTGCTGAGCAGTCCCTGTGTGCAATCGCTGGATGTGCAGAAACATCCGTGCCCAGCGGAGCGGAGGGAACCTCCACACTGTGTTGGGGGCCTCAGGGTACGGGTGAGACGTGACCCCAGGGTGTGAGCGAGGAGCCAGCCCTGACATGCAGCCACTTCCCCCACGGACACTTCCCTCCACAGAAGCCACTTGGGGCTCCCCGGGAACACCCACTGCTGCTCCGACACTGCAGGGCAGGCGGGAGGAGACAAACGGGTTCTGCAGATCCCCCTGGAGCACCGGGAGCATAAGTGGCAGGAGAGGCTCCCGGAGACCTCACAGGGAGGAGGCTTCACTGAGGAGGCTTCCTCGGCAGTCCTCCAGACAGCAGACAGGGAGAGGGGGAAGGGAGAACCCAGAACCTCCCTCCCACCACCTCCTACCTAAGGTAATGCACAAGGTTAGGCATGAGCAGACCCCGGGGGCCAGGCCCTGGAGCTCCAAGCATTGTCTGCTCCACTCCCATGGCACATACAGCCACCCCAATGGTTCACCCACAGTGAGCCCGGGCCTTCCCGGCACAGCGGGAAAAGCTGGGCCAAAACGGCACAGCAGGCTTTGTGCTGCTCCCTTCAACCGGATCTAACCACAGTGTCCTGGGGTCTTGTGAGGCAGCAGAGGGTGCAGGCAGCCGAGCACCCGCCTGCATCGCTGAGGGCGGGGGAACACCGGGGACTCAACAATGGGGAAGGGGGAATTAAGAACAGGGGAACAACGGCTCCTGGAGTTTCAGCTCTGTGACAGAGGGGGTCAGGAGCCACCTTGGAGCCCTCGGGGATGGGGTGGGCTGGGATCGGGCAGCCCAGAAATGCACGTGATGCTCAGCCCAGCTGGGCACACTCACAGCTCTCAGGGCTTCCTCCAGCGAGCGGCACTTGCCGGGTTTGGTGCTGGTGTCGTTGCCCGAGGGCTTTCTGGTGCTCTTGGGCGCGTGGTGCCGGCGGGGGGGGGGGGGAGGCGCGGCAGCGGGGGGCACCTGCTCCTTGTTCTGCTTCTTCAGCGGCCGCTCAAAGCCCAGCTCGAAGATGGTGTTGGAGGTGGCGATAGGAGCTGCAGCGCGGGGAGAGGGGAGATGTGCCATGAGGCTCCGCGGGGACACGGGCACAGCGGGGCGCGGGGACCTGACGGGGTGCGGGGGGTGGGAATCGGTCCATCCCGGACACGCAGGGTGGGAACCCAGCACCCCCCACTGGGCTGACCCC